GAATTGAAGTAGAAGAGCCCTTTATCAACTAAACCACAATGAGAGCAAGCAAATAAAACTGACAAAAGAATGAGGTCATTAGGTTTAATAGTTGAAGTCTGTTCCATTTCTTCAAACAATGCAAGTGAATCCTTCGCAAATCCGTTTTCTGCAAGCCCTTGAATCATAGCCGTCCAAGCAATCTCATTTTTTATCAGCATCCCATTGAAGACCTTCCTAGAACTTTCAATATTTCCAGTTTTTGCATACATATCTACAAGTGCTGTGCCCATGAAGACGTCATTCTGGAAGCCGAGTTTTACAACTTTCGCATGCATATACTCGCCTCTCTCTAATGAGACTAGGCTTGCACAGGCTTTTAGAACACTTGAAAAGGTGGATTTATTCGGCTGTTCTCCTGACAAAATCATCTCATTGAACACTTCAAATGCCCTGTCAAAATTTTCAGTTTCTATGTAGCCAGTGATCAAAGAGTTCCAGGAGACGACATTTTTATTAGGTATCTGGTTAAACAATTCTTTAGCTTCTGCAAGTTGGCCATTTAAACTATAACCAGTCACCATTGAATTCCAACAAACAACATTCTTCTCCAAAACTGAGTCAAATAAGAGGCGTCCATCTTTAGTATTTCCACATTTGCAGTACAAGTCAACAAGTGAACTGCAGATAAAAATATCTCTGTCCATCCCAATCTTCAGAACATGCCCATGGATGTTCTTTCCTTCTTGCAAAGCTCGCAGACTGGCCAATGCACTAATTACACTAGAATAGCACGAAGTATTAGGAATAAGTCCGCATTGAACCATCTCATGGAACAGACTCACTGCCTCTTTGGGATAGCCACCCTGACTGTACCTTGAAATCATCACACTCCAAGAAATCTCATTTCTTTCTGGCATTTCATCGAAGATCCGACGAGCTTCTCTCAAGTCCTCCGTATCCACATACATGTCTAGAATAGCAGTCCAAGAAACCACATCTCTTTCCTCCATACGATCGAAAATTCTCCTAGCTAAGTCAATATTTCCTAACTTCAAATTAAAAGAAACCAAAGAATTGGAAACAGATAAATTATCCTCAAAACCAACTTTAACAATCAACCCCAACACACTCTTTCCCAATCCAAAGTCACCTAAGTCACCGCAGGCTCTAACAACAGAAGTAAAAGTAACATCATTCGGCGCCACCCCAGATGCAAGCATTTTCACAAACACTCTCATTGCTTCAGAACTCAATCCATTTTGCACAAGCCCACTAATTGTCGCTGTCCACAAAAACACTTTCTGAAAAGGGTTTCTCTCAAAATACCACATTGCCTCAGCCACTCTTCCATTTCTTAACAAACCCGAAATCAACACAGTCCAAGAAACCTCATTCCTTTCAGGCATTTCATCAAACAGCCGACGTGCTTCACTAACATTTCCCCAGTCAACATTTGCTTTAATCAAACAGTTATGAGCCACTAAATTAAACCCATTAAACTCCTTCACCATCAGCTCAATATCATGAGATTTTCTTGAATTTAAGTACATGATGAGCAGCTTTACGGCTATATATTTCTGTGATGAGAGGCCCATTTTGAGTAAATGGGCATGCAGGGCATTCCCATGACTAATTAACCTTTGATTCGTGAAACTTTCTAACAAATACGTACTTGTTTTTATGTAGGTTTTGAAGCTTTTTCTTGAGTTAATTGCAAAGAGAGTGTTCAAAATACTTTTCATGAAGACGAGAGGTAGTTATGTTAGAACTTGAGGGAGATTTGACAGATTTGTGTAAAAGACTCTTCATATAATTCAACAGGTAAGTTAATTTTACTTTTTCAAAATTATAAATTTTAGCACATTTGGCAAGGAATATTTCACAAGTTATAACATGATAAAATTTTAATTTTTGAAAAATATTCAATCTATCTTAATAGCAATGTCATTATGCAATTGCTGTTAAAAGTAAAATAGATTGAATCTCTCTCTAATTAACAATCAATCAATCAATGAAGTACACACGTCCCTTATCAATTCCATTTTTCTAAAGTTCGGATATTATTGATTAACCATTACAACAACATGGTAGGCCCATAAGCACTGGTGCTGATTGCTGAATCTAGGGTTAAATGTTTCATTATCATACTCGTGTCACATTTTTTATTCACTGAATTTTAAAATGTTTGCGAGTGATCACTGTACCTTAATATTTTGCACTATATCGCTCACTCACTATATTTTACTAGCCACTAAACTTTAAAATACTTTCGATTTATCATTGAACTTTAACACATTGCACTTCTTTATCCACTTACCATGTTTTATTTGTCACTAAACTTGTACATCCACCACGCTTTACTTTTTGAACTTTAAAATGCTTTCTATTGGTTGTTATTGAACTTATATATTTGTCACTGTCACGTTTTATTCATTAAATTTTAAAATACTTCTAATTGATTAAAAAACTTTACTCACAGAATCCGATTGTTCAAAAAATTTTAAAATATCATACACAAAGACGACGCCCTTCTTTAATTACCTTGTGACAATTTTTTATAAATAAGTGATGGAGGGTAACATGTTAAATTACTGTGATCACTCGAAAGCATTATTAAAGGTTAGTCACTAATAAATCATGGTGAGTGAGTGACGGAGAGTAATGTGTTAAAGTTCAATGATCACTCGGAAACATTTTAAAGTTCAATGAGTAAAACATGATAGAGTTATAAGTTCAGTGACTAATGAAATATTTAACTCGTTGAATCTAACTTATGAGTTGTATAGTCAATTTTTAGCTGTGAAATTCGTGCGAGGAACCCTTGTACATTATAAGCCTCTTGCTGCAATTGAATCCAATTTGCACTGTTCATAGGATTGGATGCCAAAAATGGCATCATTTGTGCTATCTTTCCCCTTTGTTTTATTTTTATTTTTTTCGCGAGTACATATAAAAATTTGTTGGTGGCAAAATGAAGTCGTCCCTTAGTTTGAGTTGTGTCGTCCAACTTTCCTATCTTTGTGCCTGCATAAACCTGTGTCGCGAAGATCTGTCGATTGAGGGTAGTGGATGGTGATGCAGATGTTGTGGTAAATATGATAAGATGCATGAGAAATAAGGGATTTGCTTGTGCTCATCCTTTAAATATCCCGAGTGGGAGTTGAGTTAGGAACCATTAGGAAAGTCTAAAGGATAATGTCTTGGTTACATGTGAAGTAAATATTGGAGAGCGAGAGAATTGGCATAACGAAATTTGAAATGAACTGAATGTTGAACAAAAAGCTGCTTACGATTTTGTTTTGGCTAACGTTTTCAGTAATATAGGAGACCTCTTTTTGTGGACAGTCCTGATGAAACAGCATTGTTAGCAATTGCGAGGTCTCAGAACCGAGTTTCTCTGGCAACAGCATCATCTGGCCTAGCAACTGGTTTATTATCTGGAGGTTGGACAACACATTCGAGATTTAAAATGCCTCTTCAAATTCACATTGGTGGTATTTGTTCGCATAGTAGACAATCTACATTAACAGAATTGTAGAGAATTGCTGGCTTAATTATTTGGGATGAAGTTCCAATGGTAAACTATCGAGCAAATTGAAGCTTTGGATAAAATGTTACAGGATGTTTGTCTTATGATAATACTTTTATCAATTACTGCATGTTGTTCCACGAGGGAGTAAACTAAGATAATTGATGCAAGCTTGGTGAATTCCTATCTTTGGCCATTCTTAAAAAGAAAAAAAAAATAAAAATAAATAAATAAATAAAAGAAAAGAAGCCAAATTGGTTTAAAATATGCTAGCATTTTAGATCCATTGTGATCTAAATATTTGCTTCGAATTGAGAACGGAATCGAAGAGATTTATTATTGCGTAATGCTAAAATATTACTAGAGTATTACTAGAGTTAGCAATAGATTATGAAAATTGTTTCTCCTCATCCAACAAAGCTCCAAACACTAACCATGTGGTAGCTAGCTAATGAACCAATGTAGGCCCATACTCCATGACAACATCCTATCAAGCCTAATTGAGACTATCAAACGTAGATAGTCGAAGTGATGCATCATTCAATCAAAGTGTTATATATAAGGTTGACCCTCCATGGCTTATGCGAGGTGCCAAAACTTGTTGCAGAGCTATATGAAGCAATTAGCCTCTATTAATGTGGCATCCTTTTGTTTAATGTCTTCCAAGAGATCTTTTGAACGAGTGATTGATGTGACCTCTTTGCCGCAGATGCCTCTCAGCTAACTTCTTGTGTAGTTTTTAGATGTCAAACCTATGTCGTAGGTGGCCACTTTTCAGAATTATTAAACGCCCTTGAACCTAGAACTAGTGAAGTAACATCTATGTTGAGACACCTCAATCGTTAAGATGAAGCCATGTATCCTTCATCCAATGATAACAACTTCATCCATTGTACTATAAACGCTTACACTTGCTGTCATTTGAAGATAATCCAATTTTACAATATTGCACCCTTATTGTTTTCTTTATTTATCCTTGGTGTTTGTATACTAACATGGCTCAAGTCTTCTGTCCATCCCATATAGGGGTGTCAACGAGTTACGTCAAAATTCCAGGCTCGAGCTTGGCTTGGGTAAAAAGGATTCAAGGTTTTTTTTTTTTTGGCCCAACCAGAGCTTTGGCTAAAAAAATGAAGCTTGGTTTGGGCACAGTTGATGCCCTTGAGAGCTGTGAACCAATGAGTCAATTTGACAACCCTAATCCCATAACCAAATATGCATCTACAAGTTGACTAACTTGAACATTTGAGTATTCACAATCGCCTTCCCCATCTCCAGAATATATAGTAAGCACATCCTTTGGAAGACATCCTAAATGGTTCCGAGACATCAGAATATATAAAATCAAGTGTTCCCTTCATATTGTGAATGCATTTGATGAATCCAACTCTTTTTTGCTTCGCAAAAACTCAGTGCTTATAGAACTTCAATTTACTAGTACTATGTCCATAAAAAAGTCATATCCTGCTTAGTTCAGCCATCCAATTATCATTCATGTGCTCAAGACGCATATGTCGAAGTCTAGTAACATCATTATTTGACAAGGAAAGAGTACCAATAGCTACATCACATGTGACTGTAATACCCTACAAGACATATAACTGGGCAGACCTTCTCTATCATTTCATTACAACATGGCACCTTTGCTAACTTCAGGGCTCCACCTTCACTAGTGTACTTGTATCCTTTTGAATCAAGAGTACTCAAGATAAAGTTTCTCTTCAAATTTGAAATATGTCTCATATCGCTAAGTATCCTGACAGTTATACCAAACAATTTAATTTTGATTGTTCTAATACTGGCTATCTTATAAGGTTCATTATTTCTCATTATAACAACTTTAGAAATTGTTTCATATGTCAAAAATCAATTCCAATCGGGGCACATATGAAATGTGAAGGATAAATCAAGAATCCAATCCTTGTGAGGTTTGGAATTGACATCAGAAATAACTAGAAGCTCCCCACCACTTTGGTAATCTTCTGCAACATTGGCTTTATCGATTTTTTTAGTTGTTTTTCTTTTTGATTCTGTAACTTGTATCAGGCAAATTTGATGTGCTCATTTTTCTTGCAGTAATTATAAATTTTGTCTCTAATTTTTTATTTCGATCTATCCCTCATATCACCACAAGAACACTGTTCCTATGTCCTTCCACAAAACAACAAAGCCCTTTGCTCGAGCCTTAGATCCAATCCCATGCTACTTTATCTTCTCTTTAGAGAATAGAGTATCATATACTCCATCCATAGTGAGAGTGTCACGACTGTACAAGATAGTATCTCTGAAAGTCATAAATGAAAAGGGTAGTGAACACAATAAAAATAACTCTAACTCTAAATCTTCTTCAACGTACTTAATATCCACGGTCTCCAGATCAGAGACAATTTTTCTTAAAGACGGTTAAGTGATCTTCTACAGATGCACATTTAGTCATGCGATGAGAATGCAAGTGCCGTTTCAGCTGTAACTTGCTGTTAAGCTTTTTATCATGCATAACTGCTCCAATTTTAACCGTAATGCAGTGGTGCTTTTCTCATTCAAAACATCCTGTAGTATTTGATTTGATTGATGAAGATGAATTTGAGATAGGACTTTTCGATCCTTATGTTGTTTTTCATCCTATGTCCAAGTTGAATTCATCTTATCAAGCCATAACATTATCATTCAAATCCATCCATGTGAGCACAACTCACATTTTCACTTGCTATAACAGAAATTTGATGTTGCAATCCAAAGGTGAAATATTGCATTTCATAGTTGCCATTGCCGAAAATCAAGCATTGCTCTGATACCAGTTTGTTACAAAAAAGCGAGAACATAGAGTATAAAATTAAGAACAAGAACACAGATTTAAATGAAAACCTAAGATGGAAAAAACACTACGGACAAAAGAGGAGAAATTCGCTGAATCAAAAATGAATGCAAAAGGTACAGTACTAGCCTGATCCCTCCGTTACCATCAAACACCTTCATTTATTTCTCATAATTTTAGTTTCACGATACATGTCACATCGCAAGCCTTTTTGGTCTGACAAAATAGAATTTAGGTCACCGTACTCTAAA